GAGGAATAACGCTACAGATTCATATATAAAGCACATATACAGAACTACCTGTATGAAGGAGCGTATGAATACGTATAAACACATTTTCAGACATATACATCTGTATTTGTAGGTATTTTAATATATATATGTACATTTATAAAGCCGTTGAGATTAAATATATATAGTCTCCCCCCCAGCCCATTCATTGCAGCCCAGCACCACCATCACCACCCCCCCCGGGAATAAAGAGGGAGAGAGACCAGCAGGCGCTGTAAAGTCAGACCGCATCTGTTTATTTATTGTGGATGGATGGAAGTCAGCCAGCTGCCCTTGCTGCTGCGAGTGCTCCTCCTCCGAGGTGGCAGGAAACAAAATGAGCCCCAGAAAAACCAGCCTTCCAGACCAGCTCCCCCCACAGCAGCCTCAGACACGGTTGGAGGAGTAACTAAGAACAAAGCAACCAACCACCCTTCCCCTCGTGTCCCCCGTTTCAGTGCTAGAGAGCTCTAAACCAGCATCGTTACAACAGCGCAACCCAACACGTCGGTGTCTCTAGTTCAACCATCAAAAGCAACGCCGGATTTGAGTTACGTTATACCCAATTTCACATTTGAAAGTGGATCATAGGTGGGCAGAAGCCTCTAAGAGCACCTGTGCATGGACAACACTTCACAGCACATAATGGTAACTCAGTCATCATTCAGGATTTCACTTCAGTTTTTGCCTTCTGGCTCACGAACACCCTTGTTGGGATTCAGGATCCAGCTCTGGGATTCTACCCTGTGAAAGTAACACACAATCTCCCAACTCATTCAAGCAAGTGAAGCTAAAAAAAAAACCCCAGATCACTCCGAATGAGGCCAAATGCTCTACTGTTTTGGAGGGGGTGGCAAAGAATTTGGTGGTGGCAGATGTGGCTTCAAGAAGCCAGGCTGAAAAGGAGACCTACAAAGGGGAAAAATGGGCTAAAAAATATTTAGCAATCCTTCCTCTACCCAGAGAGCAGGGAGATAAGGAAAAAATAGTCATCTGATTACACACAGGGTATATATTTTTACACACACTTTTACACACATCTAGATATAGTACATGTAAAAATATATGCTATACATATGCCCGTTCTCACCAAGGTGCTTTTAAGCACACCGTCTGCACTGTGTGTATGGGCATGTATACGTGTGTATGAATTAAATGTACAGGTACTACTAAGTGTATATGTGCATATGTACACATACATACAGGCAGGCAGCCTACCCCCAGCTACCTGTGCCTTCCTCTGTACAAAACCCAGTCCTCCCACCCTGAAACACCATCACACTCTCCCAGCCCTCCCCCTGTGAAACAGGTCCCATCGTTCCCTCCCTCCCCCAGTGTAGCAGCTTCTTTCTCAACAAGCAATTCAAGGAAAATAATCTTGCAAAAATAAAAAGAGGAGAAAAATCAAAGTGAAGCGTGTGTGGATCGTGCCTGGAGTTGCTCTGTGCTCCTTCAGCTCCCCTCCTGTGCCCGCAGTTAAGGGTAGTGCTCTCTCCCATCAGCCAGCCAAGCACTTTGCGTGTGTCCCCCCCACTCACTATCTTATTGCACATTTTGCATCTGGGCTGCATCAACAACTCTGCATTACATTCCACAGACCCTGTCATCCTCTCAACTTCAATAAAACAGAGGAATACAAACCCCACTGCCCTGGCCCTGCCCACCCATCCT